TGGTCACCCCACAAGCCACATTTCCCAGGCACCCCAGAGACAAGAGAGAGATTATCATCACCGAAGGTCGAAAAGGCAGCATTTTTGTGGACGACCTGTGTCAACCCGTCTCGTGGAGCACATTGGCTCTTCTGACATCCGAGGCCGCCGGTGGGTCTCTTTGCTCCCCTCTTTGTTTCACCATTCTGTGCCCCCTTACGGCTGAGGGGTCAGTCTCAGGCCCATCTAGACTTCCCCCGTGTGACCCCTGGAAGGGGTTCTTCACTCCATTACCCCCTCATCATAGGGACCCCCACTCTCCAATCCATTTGCTTACCTCTTCATCCACTCCGTCATTTTCTGCACAGCATCCAACTCCTCTGCCTCAGGCCTTGCACAAAGGAGTCGTTCGTGGCTATTTGGGTTGTTTTACTTGTTTAATCCCTGCCTCCTGTGTTTGAGTAGAAGCCACACGGGACCACAGATCTGTCTTGTTCACCACGAGGTAAGCCAGAAGTTTGTGTGTTTAGTAACGCAATGTCTTTCACACACTCTACAAACAAATAGCTTGATGATTTCTTTTGGATGCATGGAGTTTATACTTTGGGGACTCTACATTTGCATTCCTTTGGCTAGGTTACAAAGCTCGCCGCTAAATTGAACCACAACAAGTTATTTGTATGTGTGTGTCTGTGTGTGTGTGTGTTTCCCCCTTCATATCTAACACTGTAAAAATCTTTCTTGGTCTCTTGTTTTTTGTCCTTCGGACTCTGAAACTGAAAGACGGGTGAATCCAACACCTTGGCCCACTGGAGGATGACAGCTTTTATTCATGGGGGGGTGGGGAGTAGCTGTTGCTTTTCAGGACCAAAGCTTTCACTCTGCCTCTGAGGTTCCTCCAGTTTTCACGAAATAGGCAGCAAAGAGAACGCTTCCAAACCAGTTCATCCAGTTCAAGCACTTAAAGTGGTTTAAGCCTTTGAACACAGTGAGGAAGTAGGACTGCAGGGGGGAGGGGAGGAGGGCTTAAATGGATAATTCATCACCCCTCCTACCCCCCACCCCCCACCCCGTTGTTAACTCTTCAGTCTGCCAACGGGAGTCCCTGCATACTGTTCTTTGTCCCCAGGAAGCTGGGCATCGACCAGAGTGCCCGAGTCCGGGAACAGGAGGTTCGATCTTTGTCTGTCTTCCACTGGGCTTTGCCTCCAAGGATAGTGATGGGTTGACCTGCCTTCTGTCGAATAGTCTTACACGTGGCATTGCACACCCCGCCTCCACCCCCTCGCCCCTGCTCGTTTCTCCCACAGACGGTCGCAAGACCAAACAGCTCTGCCCTCGGAGAGATAGGGCCAGAGCCCCCCTCGAATCCAAGGCTGGTGAGACTTGATCTCACGCACTCCGGACACGTGGTCAGTGGCGACCATTCCCTGGAGAAGGACACCCTGCGTGGTGGGAAAGAGGAAGACCCTCAGCAAGATAGACTGCCTCAGTGGCTGCAACCAGGGCCGCAAACCTGAGAACCACGGAGAAGAGGGCGCAGGACCGACGGTGTTTCATTCTGTTGTACAGGGTGTCGCAGTGGATCAGAATCGACTGGGCAGCACCTAACGGCAATAATAATTTCTCCGCCTGGCCAGGGATGGCATGCTAGCATGCTTGATCCTTGAAGATGCCTCAAAATAGACTAATAAACATATATTTCTTTGATGATCGACCGTGCCTGACAGCAGTTAGCACAATCAGATTTCAGCCGCATTTGGTGTTTATGCCCTTGGGAGATGGGATGGACATTGTGGCCTGAGGGCGGTTCCAATAGGCCGGTGAATGTGGTTTCTTGAGGAGAGCGTGCTGAGGCAGGGATGTAAGTGAGCGTCAGAAAGCCGGAAGTAGACAGGAAGAGATTCCAGGTGCCAGAACAGGTGTGGGCAAGCTCCTGGAAGTGGGAAAGGGCTCCGTAAGTTCGAGGCGGTAGGAGTGGCCTGTTTAAAAATGGCATGCATGGGGCCCAGGGACAGGGGCGATTGGGCTGAGGTTTGTGGGCCAGGAGAGAGGCTTGGGTGTGAGATGAACTCCACCCTCCCACAGCGAAAACAGCCCCAGTGCCATCCAACCGCCTCAGATGCGCGTGTGAAAGTTGGACTGTGAATACGGACGACTGCAGAAGAAGGGAGGCAGTTGGATTATGGCGCCGGCAAAGAGTATTGGAAGTATCCCGGGCCGCCAGAAGAGCCAGCCTATCTGCCTTGGAAGAGGGCGGCCAGGATGCTCCTGAGACGCAAGGCTGGCGAGACTTTGTCTCACGGACTTTGGACATGTTGCTAGGAGAGACCAGTCCCTGGAAAAAGACATCATGCTTGGTCAAGGACAAGGGCGACCAAGAAAAGAAGACCCATGCTGAGATCCATTGACACAGCGGCTGCCACCCTGGACTCAAACATTACCCTAGTCAGGCTAGCACAGGGCCGGCAATGTTTGGTTCTGCTATCAAAGGTCTCTGAGAGTCGGAACCAACTTGACAGCATGAAGCAGCCACGACAGTTTCCATTGAATAGATTTTGACTCCTACAGACCCCAGGTGTATGGACGTGGAACTGAACCGCACAGGGTTTGCAATGACTGACTTGGGGGGTGCTCTTTGTTTTTACCTACCTACACTATTAGTTCCGTGGACATGGGGATGTTGTTAAAACCATGACCCTCTGTCCACCGCTCACCACAGTGTCTTCCATGTCCATTCTGGGTGTCACGTGGCTTAGCCCTTACTGCCACAAACGTCATGATGGTCGCCTAGAACTGTGGGTGCCAGTATTCGCTTTCCCACTTGCTATCTTAGCCTCCGCATTCTCATCTGTATAAGGGGAGTCTTCAGAACAGCAACTTGTAGCTCTTCCGCTGAAATGAGCTGAGGCATGCCAGGTAGTTAGCACAGTGCCAGCCCGTAGGAAGCATTCAGTCCAGGGGTGTTGACGCCAACACGTGTGAAAGCGATCTGTGAACTAATTTGTAACTCATTTGTGTCTTCTTTTGTTTGGTCTTTTAGTCAGGTTTAATCAGGACAGGAAAGAGAGAATTCCTCATCTCACCATTACCTCCGCTGCTGGCCCAGGAACACAACTACAGCTGGCCCGCTGGCCACCATCCTCATGTACTTTACAAACGGACAGCGGAAGAGAAGGTGCAGCGCTACCAGGGCCACCCTAGTTCGGGCCGGAATGGTGCTGGTCACCCCACAAGCCACATTTCCCAGGCACCCCAGAGACAAGAGAGAGATTATCATCACCGAAGGTCGAAAAGGCAGCATTTTTGTGGACGACGCAAGAAATGTATGTAAGGAAACTTTTTCTTGTTCTGATCTACTAGGCTTTCTTGAGTGACATTTGTTGTAAGCAGGTTGTTGCATGAATAAAACGAGCAGAGACCAACTATAGTTGAAGAGGTTTATGGGGTCCAAACCCAGACTCAGTGCTGAGGGGCCACCCCAGACTGGAGTGCCGGGTGTGGACCCCGAGCTTCGACTGGGGACAAGCTTTTGTAGGCATACAGTTTATTGGGTCAGAGAGAAAGGATGCGGAACTTGCATCGTCTTAAGAAAGTACAGTTCAGCTGGCCATGACCCAAGCTTGGGATCATCCTGTTTTCTTCCGTGCTTATTGCAAACCTAGAACAATTCCAACTTCCTTATCACCCAGAACAATTCCATCACTTTCCTTATCACATTCTTAATCACCACATCGCCCTTGCAAAACAGTGACTAGACTGGAAAACCATTTACTTCTGAGGAAAGGACATCAGAGGTCCATCCCTGGGCAGGGCTGGGTGTTCCTGTGGTGGATGAAGAGGAGAAATTCCCCCGAAACAAGAATATAAGTGCCTTAGGGGAGCTGAAGTGGATGCACAGGGACCCTGAGATGTGAACTGTGGCCCAGACACGAGATCTACACTTTTTACATCAGCAGTGACCAACAGGCTTCCGATATGTGTCCTAGATGGGAGTTCAAATTTTCTAGTAAGAATTGTAAGATTTCTAGTAGAAATTTTTAAAAATTGCAGCTTCGTTAAAAATATTTTTAAATTTTTTCAACGAACTTTCATAACCCACATGAATATCTAAAATATTACTATTTCCGCATTACCAATATAAACAAATGGGGTTGTTTGTGTTCTTTCTTCCTCCCACATTTTCAAAGTTATTGTAAACCCAGAGTGCATTTCAATTTGATGCTGAATTTCCATTGCGAATAGTTGTTGTGCATGTAGATTTTGTAAAATTTATGGCGGAGGAACATGTTGTAAACTTATGTTTTAAGACTTTTCCCATATCTGAATCTGACATCTAAACCGAGATCC